CTAATAGGACCATGCTGCTAACAGGACTACGCTGCTAACAGGACCACGCTGTTAACAAGACCACGCTGCTAACAGGACCACACTGATAACAGGACCATGCTGCTAATAAGACCACACTGCTAACAGGACCACACTGATAACAGGACCATGCTGCTAACAGGACCATGCTGCTAACAGGACCATGCTACTAACAGGACTATGCTGTTAACAGAACCACGCTGCTAACAGGACCACACTGATAATAGGACCACACTGATAACAGGACCATGCTGCTAACAGGACCACACTGATAATAGGACCATAACAGGACTATGCTGCTAACAGGATCACGCTGCTAACAGGACCACACTGATAATGGGTTTTTTTGTTGTATATTGTTGTCTGTCTATAGCAGGTCTTCTGTGAGGTCCTTGTTTGTATTGATTCGTCTTGCTTACACCGTTGAATTCTACCATGTTGTTTACTATATTTCTTTTGGACCTTGTAGATTATGTCTTTCTTTTTCACTTTTTGGCGCTTTGTTTTGTACATTTGTTGCATGGGGGGGGGGGGGGGGCAAGTTGAGACAGTTCTTCTCGTACTGAGCATTTTGTTACATTGTTGATTTGCATATATGACAAATAAACATTAAACTAAACTGAAAAAAAGGGAAAGAAAAAAATAAATATTAGCAAAAAATTAATTGTAAAAATAGCTCAAATTAACAGTAAAATACCTAAAATGTAGCTGGAAAAAAAAGCTGAAAGAGCATAAAAAGTGGAAATTAGCAGAAAAGAGCAGAAAAAGCTGAAAGAAGCTTAAGGTCGCTGAAGCACAATAAAAGCTGAAATGAGCAGTGAAAGTTATTAAACAACACTCATTTTCAAAGAGAAAAACATGGCCGACAAAGCTAAACATGTCAAAAAGTAAAACAGCAGAAGTCATAGGAGTGTCGTGAATGAGCTGAAATCTTTTATATTTGAATTATTGAAACAACATTGAACTGATAACGAGCTGAAAATGGATCATTTATAAACTTTCACACAAGAAGAAAAGTCTTGAATCTTAAAGGCTGCTGCCACTGTGAAGAAACGATGTGGAAGCTCATGTTGACATCTGAGTTGTTTGTTTGTTTGTTTGTTTGTTGGCAGCTTTGTGAGGCTACAGGTAAACAAAGCTCAGCTGAGCGAGGCCAACATCAGGGTTCAGGTCGGTGACACGAGGGCCTGCTTGAACCCTCCTCACTCGCTTCTTCTTTTCTTCATGAGGAACGTTGCTCTGCACAGTGTGCACGCCGACGTGCACACCGACGTGCACAGAGACAAAACGATTTGTGGCGTTTTCACAAAACATCCTCCGAGAAGAAAATGTCCCCGTGAGCACGATGGAGTCGACACGAGTCACAGCTTCCTGCAGCCTGCAGGCTCGCTTCTGTCTGCGCCACTCCCAGGAGGTTGGGAGGAGGCTGCTGGGGGGGGGGGGGCCTTCAGAGCCTCAAGCCCACACAGGTGAACTCCTGGGGGGGGGGGGTGGAGGGGGGGGGGGGGGGGGTGTGCTCCTGACACATTGAGGTGTGGCCCTTTTAACTTAGCAGGGTGGGGTTAACTTTCTCTGTTACCTGTGAGTGTGTGTGTGTGTGTGTGTGTGTCCTTGTTTATGCTACTTTGTGAGGCCCATTTTTCCAACTTATACTACATTGTGGGGACCAACTGCTCCTTATGGGGCCCAAAGCCCGGGCCCCATAAGAAGAAGTCCCGTTGGTGGGTTAGGGGCTAGGTTTAGGACTAAGGTGTGAATTGAGGATGTGTTAGGTTTAGGGTTAGGTATGTACTGGTAATGGTTAGGTTATGGATAAAGGTCATGGTTAGGCTATAGAAATGAATGAAAAATGAATGGAAGTCAATGCAAAGGCCCCACAAAGATAGCAAAACAAACCTGTGTGTGTGTGTGTGTGTGTGTGTGTGTGTGTGTGTGTGTGTGTGT